AAATGCAAACTTATATATGATGTATATGAGTGTACAGGCAAAAACAACTGTACTTTCAATGATAATGTATACAGTTGATCTACCTGAGCAGAGCGAGAAGTCGCTCTCCGTCAGTGTTTGTTGTAACCCGAGCCGGCCGTTAGTGCTTTTGGTGCATGTTAGTGCACGTGAGGGCGCCCCACTGGCCAGCTAATGGCCGCCGCTCTGCACTGTGCTCATACAGCTGTTACGACTGATAATGCCGCTGTTCGCCTCAGAAGCGTAACCAAAGACTCCCCCTCGGGTAAACACCGTTGCTGTCGCAATGTTGATCCCCTTCAGTGGGTCTCGTCGACGGTGTGCTTCTCAATTTCTCAGCTTTGCTCTCTTGTGTCCGTGGAAACAATTTGAACCCAGACATCTACCCTGTGGGATCTCTACGCAGGCTGGTGAGACACCACGCGCTCATCCTCCCCATGCGAAGCCCCTATACTCGCTGTGTTAGCGAAAGGAATTCTCATATTTCAAAGATATGTGACATACTTTGTTAACACACTAACATGAATAAGAACATGGGGGAGCAGAAGCTTTGAAAAGTTTGGAAAAAAACATTGTTTTATTGCGCAAATGTTAGCATTTATTGGGATTTATTAGAGTCTGAACACTAACAGTGTGTGTGTGTGTGTGTGTGTGGTTCCTTTCTGGTATTCCCATGATAAAAATAACTCTGGAACTCTAAATAATTCCCAAAGGCATATCCTCCATGTGCTTGCCGCGGGCCAAAGACTTGACCTCCAGAGGAGCCACTGCATTACTACCAGGCTCCAGTTGCTCTGTAGGCCTTGGGTTTGTATTACAAAGACATTTAGCTGCTTCCGTGAGTGAGATACTGTGAAAATAGCCAGAAATTTCACATAAGGGCTATTGGAAAAAAACTGTCTATAATAACCAGCTATGCCAACATATAGTAACAGCGATGATACAAGTGCCAGGCAAACTCAAGGCAACGTTTGCAGGTGGGATTGTTGTTGTTTTTTTTATTTTCTTGTCAGTCACCAAAGAGGAGCGTCCGTGTGAGGATCGGGGTGACAACAGGTAACGCAGACAGAAAGAAAACACACTGGAGCTGCAGCTAACGAGCTCCGCCGACGCGGTTTCCTTAATGCTTCTGATGAGCTGTAAACTGACCATAAAAAAACATTTACCGGAATCCTTTTGATCTATTTAACTCACTGCGGCACAATAGCTAATTAGGCGACTGGCCTCGGGAGCGCCATTAGTGGCTGGCAGCTTTTGGGTCGCGTAAAGGGTGAGAGAAAGCGCTACAACGCCTGAGTGGACAGCTGAAGGGGAGATAAGGCCGTATCTTTCCATTAGACGGCCGTGAGAACTGACAAAAGCGACACTGAAATACTTCTTGAGTAGGAGTTTGTTGGCTAATGAAAGTCTATTGTGTGCCCATGCTGTTGAGGATAAAAGCACTTAACTGACTTTTTCTCAGGGGGGGTGAAGGGCACCTGATAAAATAGGCACATTAGCTGTAATTCTATGTTCAAATGAGTGCAATGACAATGCATTAACACAACAATCATATATACTGTAATACGAGCTTGGGAGTTTCCAAAAATAACTGGAGGTTTTTGGTTTCACTAATATAACTCCCAAGGCCATATTCATCCAGCTCACTCTAGTTGTGACAGACAATAACACGCTGTGGGATTAAAAAAAAGGAACGCACTCATTTGGGTCTTTTATAAACCTTTAAAACCAATTGTTCGTTTGGCACAGCTCACAGAAGCAGGAACCTGACAAAAAATAAGTCTCGTTTTCACAGTAGAGTAAGTTAGTTAATTCGGGATCCAACAGAAATGTCTGCAGAAGACATTTGTTCACAGCCGCAGAAAACGCAAGGAGAAGGCTTAAAAAACTGTTAGTGTTACAGGATTAAACAGAGAGGGTCTTAGCCAGTTTGTACTCCTCAGTACCTTTCCAACGGCAACACGTGCACGTAAAGCACCAACAATTCAGTAGGTAGGGTTCAATTTGGGACGGCAGACAGAGAGACTGTTTTCTTCTATTCTGTATTCCCCAGGTAGCAAATCAGCAAGCCCACTTCACCGACTGTTGGCTTCACACAAATACGACACACGCTTAGGAACCGAAAAGCCTCTTTCCACGTCCTCTTTCCCCCCCAAAGCTGTGAGGCTCGCACTTCCAGCCACTGCACACAGACAAAGTACCCCCAACGCTGCTTCCAAAGACATTAGCATGTCACAGTTCTCAACTGGCACTTTGTGTACTGAAATCAAACTGGAGAGCCAAAAAAAAAAAAAAATGACCCTCTATAATGCATGAGCGGAAAAATTACCCTCAAAAGGTTTCACATCCCCGAAACTGAATCCAGAAGCCGAGGCTCTGATCCTGGTGCATATGGGCATCGGCTTTTGTGTAATGCGATATAAGCGGACAGGGGAAAAGGATAAGACGTGCACTTGGGCTGCCGATTTGATCCGGGGCTTAATAAAAATCACAACGAAGGCTCAACTCGAAGAGGTTTATTGGACAACAAAAGTATCTGGAATTGGCGTTCACATGCCACACGGGAGAGTTCTCACAGGAGGTAAATCGATAAGACGCCGGCTGCAGAAGTCCAGCGTTCCTCGATGATTTATGAGAGGTCACGTTTTGGGAGAACCGCCATTAGTCTTGTGACTGGGAATCGGGCGGAGTTGGGTAAGAAGTGGGACTTATACACAGCGATTAAACGCATGCAATTACCGAAAAAAATTAACTTTTTACATAATTACGACAAATTCTCCTAGAGGGGGAGCGGTGGCAGAAAATCATCTCCTTTGCTTCATTGCCTGCAAAAAAAGAAATACTACACTGAATGGTAGTGTCAAATGCCATTGCTTTAGGGAGGAGAGACACGTTATCATGGAGACGGACAAGGGTTTTGAGAGCTATGCGGCCGAGACCTTTGTCTCGCCTACATTTAATAGCCTGTTTTCTGGACTCCGGGCAGTAAATACAGCACGATGGTTCGGGGGGGGGGGGTTGAGTCGGCTGGGTTTGATAGACATTCTAGCTGCGCAGTGGGCTCGGGTATTTAGTGTAGGCCCCCGGAGAAAAGGGGCCCCGCGGACTCATCTGACGGCGCTGCCACATGGCAGCGTTCCCATGTCCGCTGTCCAAAGTCTGGAGACTGGCTCACACGCACGGCCAGTGAGTTAATAAAACCTGTTTTTTTCTGAGGCTGAGGCCGTAGCCCTTCTGAACAAGTGTGTCCATTAACAACTCATTCATTACAATAACATGTTAGAATTCGTATGAAATGTTTAACATTTATTCACTGGCAACATTTTGTCTCAGGGAAAATGCACGCGGGTCATTTTGCATTGAGAGAAGTGAAGCTGCGGTCGAGACGTCCACATCCATCCGATAGAGGTTACAGTTGAACGGTGGTTTGCTTTAAAAGGGCCCCACAGGTTTCTTGTAAGTGGCAGTTTCCCACACGAGCGCAATGTGGACATATATCCTTGTGTCTATGTTGTTTTCCTCCCCCTAGTTTACAGTGTGGGTTAAATGTCACATACTTAAGTGCACCGATGAGAATTCAAGCGCAATGCGTTGACGGTTGTGATGCCAGGCTGCTGTCAGTCAAATCACACCCACACCCCCAAAGTGCTGATGAAGCAGATGACCATAATGGAGGTTTTTAAACTATTAAAAAATAACACCGGGAGACGTTGCTTTTCAACAACCATTTTAACTTTGGTGGTCATAAACCTTTAATATCTCCAAGGAAAACCTATGTTTCAAGGTAACAGTTTTCTTTTTTAATAAAGTGTTACGTCTTAGAGGGTTATTATAATGAAAACCCTTTGAAACGTTTAAAGGCAAAGCAGCAGCACAACCTGTTGACTGGATCATTCTGGTTCCAATTGAGACTCTTAAGTCCGTAATCAAACAGCATCATCTTCTCATTGCAAAACACACAACAAAGCTGGCAGTAGTGCTTGACCGTTGACAAAAAGAAAAGTTCACTACGAACTTGGAACATCCAATATCCTCCTCCTACACACCACCATCACCACCATCATCACCATCTCTTTTTTTCCACTGTCCAGCCCACAAACTTCCAGCATGTCCAAATCTGCTGCTTATGTAACCATGCAGATGATTTATCAGCTAGTGGCCACTGCTTACATCAAATCCCTGCGTTGATGAATGGAGATGAATCACCGATGCATTCTAGTTCAAACAATGGCCTGCGCGTGCGTCCGCCTGTGTGTGTGCGTGTGTGTGTGTGTCACCCCTTATTATTGATTACCTTATCTCCACAATAGATGCCAAATCTAGTAGATTGTACGGGGGCAATCCGTGCATGCGAGCCAATATTAAAAGGGATCATTTCTACTTAAATGTACCAATATTGTTGGAATCAGAGTGTTACATTTGATTTTTACGCGTTTCCATAAATAACCGTCGGCTCGTGTCCGCGTGCGTAAACCCTCTCCCCGACTTGCAATCAGACTGTGCATGGGAAGCCCCATGAAGCAGATGGCAGTGGGTGAGAATATTACCGTGTATTACTTCAATAGCACCGTGCACTGCGTGTCTCATGCGTGATAATGGACGCGCTCGGAACGACGCGCTCGGACGATTTCCACAACCCGGCGGCAGGAATGCTGCCGTCTCCCTCTAGAATGCCTCCATCACATCCACGGCGGTCACGCACGGCTCCCTGACAGCAGCGCAATGGGGGCTTAAGTGGAGCCGGTGGCCGATGCTCGCGCCGAGGACCCCGCAGCACACTGTGGAGACGCGCCCGCCTCGCAGCCTAAGCCACCCAGATGCGCGGTGAAGTCACCTCCATTCACGCACACGCACACACCAATTCACAAATCGCCTCATCCACTCTGCTTTAGATCCGCGCGTCCGACCTTGCCCAGAAAACCTGACATTTACAAAGAGCGCGCAGCGCGCACAGCTCACGCCGCGCGGTCGGCGCTTCCTACCGGAGAATTGAAACCAAATCCAACAGCAGCGCAGGACGGACTCTCTGTCTCCCTCTGTCTCTCTGTCCGTCTCTCTCTCTCTCTGGGACGTGTGTCTTCGGTCTCCGGCGCAGAGCACCGAACGCTGCGGACCTGCGGGGCTCAATGAGCGCAGCCCGGGCGGCCGTCAGCGTGACGTTGGGAAGGCAACCCACTATTTCCTGTGACGTCACACGGGGGCCCGCACGCAGCCGGGCGGACGGGGGTGCGGGTTTTTACGTGTCAACGATTTCTTCACATTGAACCGTTTACTTGTTGCATTTCTGAATTAGCCAGAAGACATTCAAATGGGCGTAAATTGAGAAAGCAGAATCGGTAATAAACAGTAAGCGTTCATTTGCTTAACTCCTCTTCTGCACTGGAGAAAATATGGGAAAATACTTTATTATCCTCACCTCACTTTTTGTATAGTTTGGTATTTTTCTATCATTTTATTAGTGTGACTTGGGGCAATGTGTTAAGGAAAAGTGAACAAACCTCTAGAATCTGTGCTCATTGTATATGAGCGTGACCTAAAACACACAGGATGTGACCTCGGTGGGGACTACAGCCCCGAAGGGAGGCCAACTAAGTTCAGCTTTAAGAACAGGTTTCACTTCAAGACTTTCTAGGTATTTTTTCAAAATAATTGCAGAGTCCAACCTATTGTAGATCATTTCTACCAGTTAAAGTAGTCCATACATTTTTTTTCACGTGAAAAGGTTTTCCAAAACCTTTGGGATTCATGTTAACTTTCTAATTTGATGTTGTTTTTTCTGTAGATGGCGGGAAATAAATCAGACAAGGAATCAGAAGAGAGATAAGAAGATCCTTGAGGTTTATTATATGAACTTGTACATTCCAATTCTTTACAACAAAGGTAGAGTACATAAAAGATAATACTATGCAGCGAACTGAGTACTGGCACCTTCTTTGGAAGACTTACTTTACACACTACTGCCCCTCTCTGGTTCTCCATGTCAACCACGCCAGCAGGACTGCAAGAGTGATTTATTGAACTTCATATAATTGATTATAAAAGGAAAAAACAAGGTTGTATGTTTAATCTGAAAAATATAACCGCAGTCATTACCTGTTCACATTGATTAATGAGTGTAAGGACATTGTCATCTTGATTAATATGGTTTTATTTAGTGTACTGTTGTCATGATTTCCACCAGTTTAATCTGCTTATGTTGTTGTTGACGTTCATTATTAATAATAATGGAGTTATACCAAAACTCATCATCAAAGCATCAGTGGCCGTATAGCAGGGGAAGTATTTTAGTCCTATATCTTTGTAATATCAAACAAACATTTTGCTTCGGTGTTGCCACATTAAAGTTACAGTGCAATGACAATACAGCACACAATCTAGAAATAAAATGCATAATATTGTTGTATTTTTGTCAATAAGATAGTGAAATAAAAATGTGGATAAGATTGATGATAAATCATACACTAAATGTCATTTATACAAGTACCTCAGGACTACCAAACCGATATGAGTATAGCTGAACATATACGTATGGACGCACGGTAAATGAAGGTGACTGCAGAGTAGTGCAGAGTGATGGCGAGTGTTCAGGCCGCGCGGTGGACAACGTGGTACAGGTTTTTCTTCCTTATTCGGATCAACCGCGAAAAAGCTGCAACGGAACAGAGACACGAGAAGAGGTTCATTCCAAAGTACTCTGAATGAACACAATGAAAAAAGTATAATTAACAGTTAAATAAAACTAAGTAATTTTCTTTTGCCGACATTTTCATAAGATCATAGCTGAAATAATCTTACGCTTTCTGCTTCCGATGCACTTGTCAATGCAGATTTTGCGCTTCGTGAAGTTGTTCTCGTTTCCCCCGCAGCCGCTGTAGTGAAACATCTGGCATCTCTTGGTCTTGGGGTTGAATGCGAATCTCTTCTCGGCACCGTGACATGTCCCCCTTTCCACGGGACGGAAGCACAGCTCTGCAGGGATCAAGGCTGTGAATCAGGAGGAAGAGTATTAGGAACAAATATTTTGGGATTTTCAGCCCTCCGTGGCCCAAAATGTTACACATTATCCCGCATACATCATCTTTAAAATGTTCTGTCATGCAGAATTTGGATCCGTTCCACCTCGATTACAGGGTCAGATGAAGGGGTGGACCTCCTTAACAAGAACAGTGTCTGTTTTTAGTTTTTTTTGCTTTTAATTAGCACTGTTCTAACTCGGGACTTTCACCGAGAAGACAGCTGCTTGTTTGCTTTGTGAAACCAAAAGCAAACATTGAGTTTACAGCGGTCGCAAAGTAACAAGCGTAATGAAAGTATTTAGTCAAAAGTCTCAGTCTCAATGCTCTTCCGTCTCTCTCTCATTCGCTCTCTCTCTCTCTCTAATGTATTTCTGTATTTTTTTATGTAAACATGTCTTTCTCCAACTCCCCTCAAAGCTTCAGCCTGACTGAATAAATAACTGTTTCTGCAGCCTCGTCCATAAATGGACGGTGTTGTTATAATGACTCCACAATGCTGAGTAAGCCGTCCTCTTCTCCAGCTGTCCTATGGTGAGAAACACAGGATTGTTTTTCCAGCGACCATGAGTGCTCTTTGCCTCAAATGAAAGGAGACTGCTTTTCATGGATAAATACTACGACTGCAACAGGCCAGCATTAGATCATTATGGTTCCATCTCTTGGGATTTAACTGAGGTAAATTGTAAAAGGATGGATTGGTTACTCCATGAATTCAGAAAGTATTGTTATTATTATAATCTATCAAATACAAGACAAAATCGCCTTTTATTGCTCTTTTATTACGTTTTATTAATTGTTAAATGAGAAAAAGAAATGTCTTAAATTGTGTTTTACTAAAACAGTAGCACCACGTCTCATAAATACAGCTCAATTAATTTTTATTTTGTTTTATTCAGACTCAAAAGTCTCCAATACCTCTTCTCCCACTGACACTTACAGTGCACATCGCTGTGTAACCACAAGATGTCAGTCTTTGGTTTCAACCGTCACATGCTTGGTAGAATTGCACCAGACTCAAGATGTTTTCCATTTCCACAACACTTATTGTGCAATTTTCATGACTTTGAAATGAAAAGGCTTCATTTAAATCCTGTAGTAAAAACACGATAGTAATTCTGTCATCAATCTTTACCAAGATTACCCTCTAAATAATTAATTATTACGTGAAGGGACTTTCCTTTTAAGCCAGGATTGTTTCTGAATGATAATTTTGTGATCTCATAGTGGAAATAAATAAAAGAGATTCATAAGGACTCCGTGCTATTGAGGCTGAGTCATCCTGATACTTTTCCTTTCAACATTTTCTGACAAGAGGGAAATTGGATTCTGAAAATGATAACTCTTTGAATGAGCGGAGGGAAGCAGACCAGGGCCTCCTGCTGCAGCACAAAGGAGCCTTGGAAACACCTCTACAGTGATGTGTGCTGCCTAAATCCTAACACACTGAAAATTAGTGAGCGGGAATACTTGACGAATGGGCGGTGGGAGCTCGGTTTCTTTCTTTCTATGCCTTGCGCAGCAGAAGCAATTTTGCAAGCTGTCTAGCATCTATGCATCGCTGTAACTTGAGTTTTCATTTTGTCTTATTAAAGGAAAGTCATTGGCAGCTCACTTGGGTTTAATGAATGAGCTTACATTGAGGTTTAAGCGTAACCTAGGATTCAGTTGACTGGTTTCTACTCTAAAGACAGGATGATGAATGTAATCATGGCTGACAAAAGTGAATCCCTCCCAAATGCCTGGTGCACTGGGATCTCTGTAACTAATTAACGTTGCACTCTTGCTTCGGGCCTCAGTGTCAAACAGATTAGTGCATATTGTAGGCAAGACTCTAACGTTTGGAACGGTGTGAAGCGTTGATATGTTTGCTCGTGAGGAGTCCACGATATTCCTCTTGGAAGTTGGATTTTGCTGCGTTTCGCACCCGTCGGGTGGAACAGGTTTAAACTGACAAAGGTTCATTTCCTACGTGTGTTCAGACAAAAAGCAAATCTTGCCTCTCGCCACGACACAACTGTTGTGCAGTTTGCATTCAGTCGGCACAATTAGCCTCGTAGAAACCGTACCGCCATTAGCTGTAATGTGTCACCACATTATATGGATGTGTGGGGTCATACTTCTTTACCTTTTGGCTCTTGATCAGTGGCGTTGGATCGCACCAGAGGGGTACTCCATTCCCCTGAGGAAAGCAGATTTCAGATTTCAGTCAATTCATTTTGGGAAATAAGTTCAAAAATGTTAAGTAGCAGCCGACCCCAGTTGCACCGCCTCCACGGGTTTCCTGGCGACATCACATTGTGGTAGTATGCATGTATATTGTGGTAGTATGCATGTATATTGTGGTAGTATGCATATTGCAGTGGTAACGGTGTTATACTGCTGAAGGGATTACACTTATATGTGTACATGAAAGGCTTCTATGTAAAATACTAATTCTGTTGTCAATACTTCGTAGGATGACAGACACTATAATGATATAAAGTCAACCATCCTCCCTTTTTGTTGTCTGCTAGTTTACAAATGCAACATTTCTCCTTCCTGGACTAAGCGCTGCCCCAGACGGTCGTAATTGGAAAAAGGAAAAAAAATATTTCTTTCCCAGATAGCAGAAAGGTAACGTGTGGAACCAGACCTGTCCTTTCCTGAAACCAACCTGTGCATATTGGTCTGGCTAAACGAGTCGATCTGCAACGGCAATTGACTGACAAAGGCAATGGTTAAGATTTGGTGTCAAAGTGGAAAGCAAAAGCACCTCTATTGGCCATTTGGGATTCAAGTCCATGTCATAGAGAACCTGACGAGTTTATTGACACGGTCGCACGCAGCAACATTGGACAGCAGTGCCAGGCGGAAACCTGCCGCCACAGCTAAAAAGTTACACAGCCATCCAGCATTAAAGGTCCAAGTACGTCTACAGATATTTAGCCTCCTCAACAAATAGATGTTTTTGTTAAATATCCAGAGTCATTGGCTACACCATTTTTGTCTTTTAACCTCTTAACTAATGCTAAAACCCTTCGCCATATCCCTTCACCTTGTTCCCCCATGTCAGCCTTACCGGTTGCTTTGATTTTACATAATAAGCACTAAATATATTACACTTTAAGTGGGATGTATGTAGTCTTACCGGTCAATATGGTTGGCCGCACAGCAGATTTTCTGGCAGACAGCGAGTGGCGTTCTGGTGCCTTCGTGGTCTCTGTTGAGTTGAGAAAAAGAAGAAGTACCAGCTGAGACTGTGTGTCTCCACGGCTAGCCACGATGAATCCAATGAACTAATGCCTATATTTAGAACAGATCGCATTAAATCCCAGCGATCGATCCCGATTCAAATAGTTTGATTTCATTAGCATCCGAACAGAAAGGGTGTTGTCTAATGAAGCCAGACAGAGTCATCCATCTGATATCTGTATCCAAAAAATTTCAAATTGATTCTCACAAGGTGGGCTGTCCGTGGAAATGGCCACAGCTGAGTGTCTCCCTCCTTGTTATCTTTGACAATTTCTGCCTCTAAAAGGACTTCTAAGGCGGGAATGAGTCTCGCTTGATTGGGCGTGCTTGGTTCACTTTGAAACAACTTATGTGCAAAATCAAGGTGAAATGAGATATTATGGTCCGCTGTGATCGTCCTCGGCAGTCGGTGAACCCCGAGCGGTACACCCGGCCTCCTGCTCTGACGTGAAGGCAGGAAAAGTAATTATTTCTGTAACAACTGACGACATCTTTGGAGCATTCGCAGCTGCTGAACACACGCAGTGTTAATTAGTCCTTTCAAATGGCTCCGAACAAAGCGCCTGTCTGGAAAGCTCGCGTTTTAATCAGTCTTTATTGCAAGAGGATAAAAGTTTAGCCCGGCCTACCTGGGCTGTGACACTTCGCCTGGCACTCCGACATGCTTTGGAAATTGTTGGCATTGCCGAAGCAGCCGCCGTAGAAGAAATGCCTGCAACGCTGACTGCTGCTGTCAAAGAAGTAGCGAGTCACCAGCCCGCGACAGGGACCCGGAGCTTCGTCCAGGTGACACGGGTTCTTATCATCTAGGAAAGAGAGAGTGAGAACAAAGTCTTAGGAACTAAGAAAAAGTTACAACAATTATTGAGTCCTATTGAACAATTATCGCTCAATAAATGAACAGTACATGGGTTCACGCATTGCACGGCAGTGCACAGTTCTAGCGCACACAGGTCACGCCCTCCACTGGACTTGGTGGGTAACACTCTCATCCAATCACAAGCATGCTGTCTCCCAGTATAACCATCAGGTGCCATCTTTGCTTCGAGGGCCACGGCACGGAACAGTATGAAGATGACTGTAATCTAAATTCAGCACTGTGCTATCAGTGGCCTCGGGGTCACCGCTGACTCCCTGTCTCCACAACTTTTTAACGTTTGGAGGAGAAATGTAAAAGTTACAGATTATTATTACTTCGAATCTGTGTTACAAACAGCTGAAATCAGTAACTGGAATGTCATCAGCAGCAGGATGGAGCACTGGATAGCAGCGTTGAGGTGGAGCGTTGTCAGGCACCTATCTTAGAATAAACTGTCTAGAGACCTAAAAAACGAGTCTCTCCCTGGCTCAAGCCAGGGACTCGTGCTTGATTTGTGCCTGTACCATGAACGCAGCCTTGGTATATTGTCCTCATCATAAGCCAAGACAGGTGCAACCTGTCACGGTGTGACTGGCTGACGTCTTTAACAGCAGAGTTCTGCATTGCATGGCAGGTGTACTGGTGTCCACCCACATTTATATCTCCTGATAGACCTCATAGACCTTGTCAGTACATCCTCATGATGTGAACTCAAACTTTGAAGAAATTGCCAACACCAAAAGGACCAAACATGCCGGGCTGTATTTTGGGATGTGAGATGTGTGTGGAATGATGCAGAGTTCATATCGAGTAGTGGAGTTTTGGGTTTGCCACACTGCAGAATATTTACAACACAATCATAATCCCACTTCATTCTTCTATTTACGTAGACACATTTCTCTTTGTCCTGTGCAGGTGAAACACGTTTTGCCGTTTGCAGTTGCCCCCGTCCACATAAGAGCATTGCTTTGCTCAGGTGCTCGTACTCTTTTCCTCCAGACATCCACTATCAGTCTAACAAGCATAAGTACTGTACCTCATCCAACCCCACTTCAAATAATGCAAACCGTCCCTTTGAGCTCTCAGAGCTTCTGTAAGACATGAAGCCGTTGAGTGTTTGCAAGACAACCAGACAGCAATTCACCCACCATACGTCATGTATTACATTACAGGCTTATAAAGCAAAGTCCACCACCTGTTTGAAGCCAAACTAGAAATCTGTGGAGACTTCTGACTAAACGCAAGCTGTCCCAACAGCTGTTGGGGGATGTCTTACACCATGCTAAATGCCCACTATCTGGTTTATCCTTTGAGTCAAGGGTGACGGTGATTAAAAAGGAATTGAGACATCTAAATGCATTTTATGAGGTGCGTTCTTCGCAGTACACTGACGCTCTCTGTGCAGCAACGTAGTAATGAATAATTCATAAACTCTACCGGTACTCTCTATCAGAGCTGTGAAGGTGATTTGTGTTTTCAGAAGAATTATTGGTCAGCTCTTTTTTCAAACTCTGGGTGTTAAATAGGCCGATCATCTCTATCAGGCTCGGATGGCTGTGAGCAGCAAAAGAAGATGCCTCTTTCCATGTTTGTCGTCTAATGTTTTTGCCCCATTGAGTGTCCTACCCAGAAAGATGAGATTTCATTACAATGTGCTACGGATTTAGAGCACTTTTTGGTCACCCCATCTCTGATATCTTCACCTGTCCATTTAATTAATAACCGCTTTATGCCTTCCCACAGTTGTCTTTTACCCTTTTTGCATCTGAAAGTGCTGACACAATCTTGGCCAGGCCTCCTGTGGAAAAAAAAAGAAAAGAAACGTCCCTAATGGAATGGATATTCAAGCTAAATCAATGCACTCAGGCGTAAAAATAACATTTTCCACTTGATGGAGACAGACATAATTCAATCACTAAGAAAGACGCTGCTGTCATCAGCAGAAAAATCAGCCTAACAAAAGAAACAAAACAAGTAAATTTCGTATTGCTTGATTAAAATTGTATTGTTTGCATAATGCAGAAGGTCACATAAACATAATGGGATCAAAGCAACTATGTAGCACAGTGCTAAAGGTCAATGTTGGCAAGCATTAAGCGTTAAGACATCCCAAAGCCCCCCCCAGTGTGGTACACTGTACATGAGGCCGGTGGAAGTGGCTGTGGTGAGAAAATAATAATTGACAATTATCAATTTCTGTCTCATCCAGCAGCATTTGTTTTTTGCATTTTCTTTTTTCCTCTAGTAACTATTTAATTTGAACAATGCGTGTGCTCACAGACTGAGCATTAGCCCTGAGATATAAGGGGGGGAAAGTGCTACTGTCACAGAGAAACACTGTGTTCCTGTCTCTGACCTCCTTCAGCAGAGCTGAGAAAAGGCATCGAGGACCAGAGGGAGAATGTGAGGCACAATGGCGACGACTCATTGGGGTTTCATCACGGCTGGAGAGCAACAACCTTTGCAGAGAAAGGAGGAAAAGGTTTCCCACACAGTAAGACAGAGTGTTCCTCACATGGGTGTGCGACCTTTAGAAGTGCACTCTGCCTGATGTGTGTGTGTGTGGGGAGGGGGGGGAGTAAGGAAAGTCCAAATAAGCCTTTGTTTTTGAGCATCCAATACATAAATGTTATGATCTACATTAAACTAGACAAGTCTGTCCTGCTAAAAATGTGAAACAATCAATCAATTTGAACCCAAATTCAAAATGACGAAGGAACACTTGTCAGGAATTCAGCTTCCTGAACCGGGGTTGTTACATTGCCACTCTAACCTGTTTGTTCTGAGTTTCCCCAAACACATCCTGACTAATTATTCAACCATCGACACCTGCTGCTGCCTGCACACCCGGTCCTGATTACTATCCCCTTCACCATTTAAGCTGTGACCAGACAACCAGTCCCTGCCGGATCGTTAGCGTACCACGTATGGTTTTTTGCTCCAAACTCGAGTCTAGTCAAGAGTCAGTGTGTTTGTTTGCTTCTGTCTTTTTTTCCGGATCACTAACCGGCAACCTGTTTCCCTGCCTACAGCTCATCACTTGGATCGCCCTTTTCCCCTGCCTAGCCGTTGACCCGACTCCAGCCCCCACTCTTCACCACCCAACCGGACCAGACCTTCCCTACACCCTTTTTTGCATAAATACCCACCTTTTATTTTGATTCTTCCGTGTGGTCTGCTTTTGGGTTCCCGTCCTGGACGATCCGTGACAACACTGCTGCTTTGAACGTTCAATTGATTCAATAACTAATTTATTCTCGCAACATTACGTTTTATCAACAAAATGATGCAACTTGATTGTGAGCATTTTCCATCCGTTATGACCGACGCAGCAGTTTCCAAACCTTTTAGGCCACGCACCCCCTTTTACATCCCAACTGGGTTCATTTACCCCCAATCCCCCACACTTAAAAAGAAAAAATCTATTTATAACTGCATTGAAGTTTCCCGATTTCAGCCAGTTCAGCATGTTTTATAAATGTTAGCTGACGTTAGCTGCACAAACTAGGCTAACAATAGCTAGTGTGTACGTAAAAGGAGGAGCTGAAGTGTATTTATTTATTAAATTGTACATTAATTTTAAACGTAATCCTGCAAAAGGTAGTTTCAGAATACATGTCTGTATTTTGTGTAAAAACCCTATTGATTTTGTTACAAATTATGCTACATGTTTCCTCTCGCGCACCCCACTTTGGGAATCCCTTGACTTAGAGAGTCACAAGATAACAGAGCGGAGGAGAGTGCAGTTTACTTCCCCGCCTGTTCACATTGTGTGCGTGCTTCCGATCGGTTGCGTTGCCGCGGATCAGATTTGGGACCCTTCGGGCCACATTTAGGAAGGAACCTGGAGTTAGGTGCTCTCTCTTTTCTCCCCAACTGTCAACCAGGCCGAGCTACGAGGGCTCCAAGGATCAAAATGATCATTTCATCTGAAAGGCAGTTTGGCTAGTTGTAGGGTTGAGAAGACATTTTGGTTCATCTAGTTTTATCCTGTGTATCTGTTAGGGAAGTAGGGTGCCTGCATTTATTTTGGTTAGTTTGGTAATAGTTGACTATGACGCATATTGCTACAACAAGCTGTTCTAAATAATACTCATTGTGGACGGTACGGCACGACACTGGTCATGTTTGGGAGGGTGGGAGAGAGGGACACACATCGGTAAGCGGCACTCGGGTTTCTCCCACACTGGGCGTAACGCACCTGATTCAATTAAGTCCAGCGGATGATAAATTAACTTATCATGGATGTAAAAAAAACAGGCACATGAGCTTTCTTCTCACCCATTTAAAAACACGAAAGAGGAGACAGCTCTGAATCACGTTGATGTGAGATTTGACTCAGCAGATTAAATGAGAGAGCGTTTCAAAGCGATACCCGGAGGCCTCAGAGCCCGACTGCTAGGGGTGTAACGATTCATTCAGTGAATCGATTAATCGATTTATATTCCTGCGATCCAACTGAATCCATCTGTGCTCCGCAAATCGGCATTCTGGACGACATATATCGATTACAAATCGCTTGAAATGGTACATAACCGTTTGTATCGATACTTGGAAACTGCACATTGGATTTAAGCACAAAAACGGTATGGATGTGTTTGTTTTTCAGCACTTTAGACACGTTAAACGTTACTCGATTCAGTCTGCCTGTCGGTGACGTCATCAGTACGCCGCGCGAAGCGTGGAGGAGACGACTGCGAGTGAGACATTCACAAACTAACATATCGATCCAGCGCGTGGAAACATTTTGGCTTTTGCAAACACGGAGGTGTTCTAAATAAGTCGGTCGCTGTTTGTAGAATATGTAGAAGACAAATAAAAAACCACGGAAACACGACGAATCTTTCCGGCCATCTACTAAGGCGCCGTGGGATTAAACAACGGCGACAGTCAGGACCTCTAGCAGCGTTACCACTGCAGCAGCAGCAGGTAACTCCAGCTCTGCAGACACCTCAGGCCTCGCCAGCACCAAACTCAACATCACAGCAACAAGTTTATCTGTAAAGACTTGCAACCCTACAATGTGGTTGAAAATCCAGGGTTCTGTGAATTGATCCAAACACTGTGTAATTATTGTGTAATGTTTACATTGAAAATGGCACTTGATTCAAATAAAAGGTTAATACATTTGCCATTAATTGTTGTTTGCTTGTTTATAATATCCATAATTAATTTAAACCTGATTTCCTTACAAGAAACAACAGGGATCTCAGAAACTTTGCCTGCACTGTCCAGTAAAGTTACTGAATCGATTTCAAGTCACCGAATCGAATCGTTCTAAATTAACCCAGACCGTCCATGAATCGAATCGGCAACCATGAATCGCGATTCGAATCGAACAGTTGTTAAAATGAACTGACTGCATTTCATTCCATTATATTTTTATTTTTTCAATTGTCGACCTGCGCCTGAACTTTATGTTTTTCTTTACATAAATAAAGATTTCCACCACACAAGTGGTGCATGTTAGTAATTCTGTCACGACAGCCACGCCGTGATCAAGTTGTTGGTGTGCGCGGCCGTCTGTTGATTTGGACCTTGACGACGCTCAGGTGCTGCCAATTACACACCTGGCTCCAGTTCCCGATCAGGGGGGTATTTAGGAGCCGTCCGGAGATCCAGTCCCTGCCGGATCGTTACGTGCCAGGACTTCGCCTGAGACTGGGAAGTGGGTCCGGTGTGCTAAGATGAAATCCCGTATATTCTTTTGCAAGTTCACCCACGTTAAAGACAATTCTCACTCTTCAGATGAAATGTCACTTTGGGAAGTTTTTCACGCTCCTTTTCAATAATTGTGGACGGGAAGAAGATTTTCTTTAGGCTAGGCTGCCTCAAATGGTCCTCAAGGGAGTTGCAACTGTTGCCACTTGTCGGCCCAAATCCCAATATGTGTGCGTTTGTTAGTTCTTGTGAGTGTGCCCCACTGGTTTGCTCGTCACCACAAAGCCGCAGCAGCTGATAACGGCGTCCCATCAGACCACGGCGCATAAGCATACAATAACGTGCAGATTCTTACAAAATTGCAGTGCTTTTACAGCCACCAGCGAGCCCACTAAGATTCACACATGGAAGTGTGTTCAATTTAGATAAAAGGTGTTATGCTTTTCTGCAAACTGCCCTTTAAATGCCACGGAACAAATGCAAGTTTTATAGCTCTTCTAAATGCAATGTAATTTTCTTTATGATCCGAAAGCAGAGTAAGCTGTGCACTCAAACTAGCGCTATTATTTATTGGTCACCTTCATATTTCCGTCCGAGCACTTTCATTTCAACTCGGATGGAGCCAGAAACTCCTCACCTCAAGATTCTTCCACACAGCACAGAGACTGATGTTTGGAGACAGGAAGGAACACAAAATCCAGGCACAAACTGCACGAGGGCAATGCCTGCAAGGTGCGAATCCATTCACGGTCCTCGTGGCATGAAATACAAAGGTGAAGGCTGTTCTGTGCCGTTGGGAGAAAGCACTTTGTCACGCCACAGCATAACAGCGCATCTAATTACTTTGACAGATGTGTCATTGCTTTCATGCGAAGGCATATTTCAAGTTGAGCAGACAAGCTTGAGATTCAAAAGGTGTATTGTTTTCCCGACAGATATCATTATAGCTTTTGAATAAGAGGGAGAGGTGTTTTTTATTTGTTGACATAATCTTTTACACTGGTAATCTCAGCACTGACCTAAAAACACCAAATAGTGTTCTGCCTACAGCATATTAGCTGTTGAAAAGGATAGTAGACCATCAAAAGATCATACTACATAGTTTTGTGGAGTTCAGGCAAACTGTAACCCACATCTCCTCCAACGAGTTATTTTGCATATGATATATTTTAAATACAGCGCAGTCGACAGAAGTTTTTATCTGCATCCTACCAGAGCAATGACATATTAAAATGTGCTACGCACAGGGCAGGTTGTTTATCATCTGAGTATTCAGTATCAAATGAGTTGGATCGGGTTTACAGGCGAAACAAAACTCTGATCAGGTCATAACTAGTTTTAATCAATAAATTCAATTTAGTCTGGTCAGTGTGATCTGTAAATAATCGGCAGCCTCGCTTAAATGTGCCCGTATTTTTCATTAACCAGGTGGCTCGAGGAAAACTTGTTCCATTTTAGCCGCATACAAAGAAAATGACTTTTTAATAGGATTTTATGCCCGAGGTGGCGATACAATTCAATGAGGAACAAACTCTTCACTTGCTAACAACATAACGCAGAGCTGTAACTCGTCTTGCAAAACCTACCCCCTTTGTATCAATGACGTCGAGGCCTTTACTGTTGTCAACTTGAATTTGTTCACCAAACCACAAAGTGAATCATTGGAAACACGGCACCGAACCGCTTGGTAATTAGTTGACTATGACGCATATTGCTACAACAAGCTCGTCCTCGGCGGCGGTTCGCACCCACCTGAGACGACGCACATTTCCTCGCATTCCTCCAAAGTCCTGAAATTGTTGTCGTTTCCCCCGCAGCCTCCGTATTCAAACTGCTCGCAGTGGCCCGTGTCCACGTTGAAGAAGAATCGCTCCTTGATGGCCTTGCAGGGCCCCGGCTCGTCCCTCAGGGCGCACAACTCGTTGAAGATGAAGAGCTCGGGTTGAACTGCATCTGATGAGGTGGGACAGAAAGACAACACACGCTATGTGAAAAGGAGTTTTATGTGTGTGTGTGTGGGGGGGGGGGGGAAGACGACATTTGGTCGAAACATGAATTTTAAACCTGTCTTGGAGATAAGGTAAAGTTGTTGACTATCATTTCTAAAATACTTGGCGTGTGCTTTCACAGCAGATGCAGGCTGCGTGCAGGGTTTGAGGACAGCTGTGTGACCCTGCTTAATATTTAGACTGGATCATTAATAATGAAATATGCCAAATTGTGACATAAGGTGCAGACACTTTAGTTTTTCATTCTCTTTTCTAAAAAATCAAAATGCAACTCATGTTGTAGACGCAACAAGCTACAGGAACCACAATATGAATTCCCACAGTAGCCGCTGGGAGGGCAGTGAGGGAAGATGTCACATGATGCAGCAACCAGCAACAGTTGGCACTGCAACACAACGCGCAGTGTGCTGCAGACCTGTATGTGTAATACTTTAGACAAAGACAGGCGGCACCGTTATCCATAACTGTCAAGATACTGAATTAGCTCTGAATCGACACACTTCTCTACTAACATTATGGTTCATAAAAGCCCAGTCCAATTTGGGAAAGAGTGGACATCAGAGCCCGACTGACATGAAATGAGGTTATAAGTATATGTGAAACTCACCCACCACTGAATGGATGGCTTTGGAATTTGTGCATACATGCATGTTCCCCAGGGGATGAACCCAAATGACTGGGATTTAACTTTTCCTCTGGTGTTATGGGGACAACATCCGTCCCTTTTGAGAGTAAAATTCTGCATGTTGTTTAACCAAACACTCCATAGCCTCCAGAGTATCGCTGAGGGCCAACGTTTGCATTTGGATACGGATCTGAGTTGCTCAACACCCACTGTGCCAAACACCTGTGATGCCAGAGACGGGCAGGTTGAGTCGGTTTGAGGCCCAGTCCCAGCTTGTTTAATAGCACAGAAGAGTAACCCGCAAACTCCATTTCTAGGTCTCGCGGCAAAGTGGACCCAAGTACAAACTGTACAGAGCAGAAAAGCAAACAAAAGCAAGCCGCAGTTATTGATGACTCAGGAAAACAAAGAAACAGCAAAGCCGTTGCCGGGATGACAGTGAGGAATGATGAACTGATGAAACCACTGGAGAAAGTGAGATGTAGACAGAACCAGAGAGTGCCACAGCGCTGACAGCTCCCAGTGGTTCTGTCACCTGCAGCCTTAACTATATGACATGTCACTCTATGAGACAGTTTTAAAGTATTCTTGTCATTCTCCCCTGCTATGAAACTGAAACGGAAATGTTGAAAAAATGAAAAGGCTCATTCTTAACGCTCACAAGTAACGCAAAGTTCAGAGGCCTCGGTATAAATCAACGCAATGAAGAGAACATGACAGCAGAAGTGGAGTCACAAGAATATAGAAAGCAAACAAACACTTTGTTATGTACCACCTAGTAAATACTTCATGGGGTGAGACATGTATATGAGTTTAGGACCAAGCAAATCTAAATCTAAACGCCTCAGTCACCTGTTGTTAGTTGGCTGGTACGGTCATAATGTGTTCCTCTTCATGTGGATTTCGTGCCCTGTAAAGCACTTTGTGATGTTGGTCTGTGAAAAGCGCTTCATGAATACATTTGACTTATTTATTGTATCTAATTTATCTCTTTTTTTTTGGCAGAGCTCTACCAAACTACATTTTGTTTTGTTTTATCGTTGCCTTATGACTTATTCTGAGTTAGTCAGCATGTTGGAGGAACTTCCTTCAGTGACTCATTAGGCTGAAAGGTCCATGAAGGGATGAGTACAAATTCCATTGAATAGAAGTGATGTTGTGTTGCAACACAACGGTCAGCGGAGCGTGTGTGCGCTCCGGTGAAAGAACCAAAGGAGTGCATCGACTATGTCTGTGTAGGTGGGCCTGCAATGTAAGAAATAGTCTGTGTTTATCGGAGCCTTGCCCTGAGGCCGGCGGACAAAGGCCCGAGGATGAGTCACAGCCCGTCCCTCCATTTCACAGCTGAACCCTGAACACTCATCGAACAGGACTGCGTTTCGCTCCCAGAAATACAACCTCCAAATGGATTAGTTTAATGACCCAGAGAACCTTTTTGTTTGTTTCTCCCCTGAAAATGTGAATAAAAAAAAAAGTAATTTGGAGCTTTTAGTAAATTCATGGAGTGAACATCTGAGTGTTTTAAAAGGCAAATACTTTTGGGGGAATAAAGAGAATAGAGTGCTAACGAGTGGGCTTATTAACTCAAAGCATGGTGCATCATAGCTTATGTTAGCCTTAATGTTTCCACACTTTTTATCTGTTGATCTACTTCTTTGTGTCTTGTACGATTAGTCAGCATCAAAAGGGATCAATGTTGTGGAGTGTTGGAGGAATTAGTCAGATCTTTAAAATACTCAATTGAAAGTCGTTCCTTGGAAAGCAATATTTTTTAACAAGAACATATGTACCGAGCTTGAGAGAAACAAACTGAGTAAATTTCAAAGCGACAGTTCTGATCAAAGCCAGTGAAATCTTCCCATTCCCGACAGCTTGTTAACACTAAGTTACAATCAAAGTTGTGGCTCTTAAAATTGAGGAAATGCCAATGCCAAGAGAAAATGGCAATTTTAGATCAACTGAGTTGGTGAAATCAAGAGTGACTGATGTTGTTATTGTCTTTTGATTTGTGATATTTCTATTGACTTTTTTTTTTCTCTTTTTTTGGAAAAACTTGTAATGCGTAATTAATTAATCTGAACTGTCCTTTGTTCAGAATAGCTAATCGTGTTTATAAAAATCGAGATTATAAACCTTTTTTTTAACATAAGTTTGTGTACAATGATTGAGGTCATGTCCGTTTATTGTACCACAAGGTATCGGGTCACGTCCATATTTTGTACAATGACTCAACAAAAAAAGTTCCTTACCCAAATTAAATGAGCATTACTATTCATTCGTAATAAACTCAATCATTCAACCTGAAGAAAATGACAGGCAGGGAACCAAAAAAGAAACAATGGCAATGATCCTACAGATCATCTCAAATGCATCTCCTAGAAGCAATAAACTTTGGCCTGTCTGCAGCAGCGGGGAGATGACCTCCTTCCAGCCGCAATCTTGCAAAGAGCACCTCCTACAGCAGTTCAGGTTTGGAGATCAAAGTGGGCTTCGAGCTCCTTCTAAGGCCTTTTTCTCTTGCAGATCAAAGGCTTCCCCCTGAAACACGGACACATTTGTGCCCCCAGGAGGAATCGGTTGAGTTCAATCTTTGAGAGCTCAGGTTGTGTGGTTGGGAAACAGACTGGGGGCTACCCTGAAGGCTGACTGAGTATCTGTTTTTGGCCACGAACAGGCCTGGTCCTGCATGGCTCAGGAGACACCGCAAAGCACGAACGCCACGGTCGGCGGTTTGATTCTTGTTGGATACGCCCAAGTGGAAAAACCTTGCTCTCGCACGAAGGATCACTGTCAATACGAAGTCTTCGAGCCAACAGATCTATTTGCAATCTTTTACTATACAAATGTCCTGTGGTGTTGCTGAGATGATTTGAAACCAACCCTGTCATTGCGGAGAAGCCAGCTTAGTTATAAAAAAAGGTACGGCAGGTGTTAAGTATGATGAGCGAGTTAATTGTCGCTCTGTAACTCGATAGCTGTTGTCGGCCCATTTGTCCCCGCCGAGCCGGATTTAAAGTTCCCCTTGCCTCTTCCACCCACAGTCTCTTTAAAAATCTGGACACCCTAGACTGATAAACAAAAACAAAAATCAAACTTACTGTGTGCCTTTTCATGGCTTTAACTCCCTTCCCTCTGTCTAGCAGCTGTTTTAATCAACCAATTTTTTCCCTCGGCAATGGCAGTGTCTTTTCCTGGCAACATCCGAGTTCAGCCCCTACCTGCAGGGTCCCACTTGTTGTCAATAAGCGCCATCATAGCGGGAACCAGAAATCCCTCCGTCTCCTTTGATTCCGCACAATTCGTGCTCTGACATTGTTCGGTCCGCCAGCGCCAGACTTTGCAATCCCACTTAATGCCAATTAGAGTCCGTCTCGGATGGTTCTCAGCCAACAATGTGACAAAGTTCGCTACCTGGGCAGGTGGGGCTTGTATGATTTGATGAGCTGAAGGCCGGTGACATATATCCTTAAACCCGTAATGCCCTTGGGAAACTAAAATAAAATCACCCAACGCCTTGGAGCGAAATGGAGTGTGGCAGCTCCTCGGTCCAGAAGTAGCAGATGGCCAACAATGATGTTGGCATAAGTTTGACGTAAGTTGCACAAGCCTGCAGGGTAGATTCTACCAAGGCCCCATCTGCCAAATTGAGGGAGTCCCAATTACAAAACACTCAGTGAATTATTCATCACATCGCTTGCAATAAAAACCAAACGATCCTGAGAATGGAGGTGTTCAAACCAGTGAACATTTTCCAGAGAGGAAATAATTAAATACAAAGATGAAAGCCTTGTGAGAATGTGATTGTCTTAACATGTATGTAACTGCCTGAATGGAAACAAAGGGAAAGAACAAAGAACTGTGACTTTAATTAACAGATTGCGTAACATAAAAGGTCCCTACATATTTAAAGTTGGGAAAAAGCTACTTAATGCTGGTTGTTGGATTTAAGCTGAACACACCAGACATATGTTATAGATATATGCCAGCTGAGAATCATTTTTAAATAGATGTACATTTTATTGGGAAAACTATTCGTAGTCAGTAGAATGTTGGATCATATTACTTGTCCCACAATGATCCTTTTTATAGATGGAGGAGAGTTTTAAGGAGCGGTAGAATTAATATAAAAAAGCGGTGGGACATGTTTTCTCGTCTGTGAAGCTTCTGCTGGTGAATATATTAGGGCATATTAGGGATTTCCTCAATTACCAGCTGCTGCTCAGGTTTCCTTGCCGTGCTCACGAGCTGTACCACATTATTTGCTTGTTTTTGATCTTTAAACATGCGAGCCCTAATTTAAACTCCTTGCGAATGTGAAT